AAATCTTTTCGTTTATAATAATAAAATTTTAGTAACACACTACTGAATACAAATGTCACGCTACTAACAAACTTGGCGGCTATGGCGATCGAAAGTTCTGTCGTTCATACTGGAAACCCCTATATGTATTAGCTTCTCTTTCTTCCGAATATTCGCGTCTACCAACACGTTCGCGGGCGCCAGTATCAGAAATGCCGAGTTTGCTAATAAAATAACCATAGTTTCCCATCGTCAGACCTCGAAGGATCAGTAGCATCGGGCACCCTGGCCGGAACAAACCCTCCAACAATGGCTAGAGAAAAAAGGGGTCCGATAAACAATTTACTCGCTTCCTTGGACTTTCTCGTTGTTTTCCGCAAATAATCCCAGCCAGCCCCCCGTATACACCCCCGTATCCAACGTTGCAGCCGCTTAAGGGTTTAATAATCTGTCTCGACGAGGACAAAAGGGCTGGCGCGTTATCATCCAGCTCTGTTTGATTATTCATTCACGCTTCGAGCCACCGACAAAGCTCGAATCCGCTTTTAACTCGCCTGGGTCCGCTATGCGAAACGCTAGTTCTTTGCATCGAGCCACTGTATAACGCTCAGAAATCCTATTCAACCGGCCATTATGTTAACCGCCCGATTTCTAATTCAGAATAATTTATTTTCACACGAATATGCTCGTTGAAAAATTTTTCATGGTTACATAACTGTGATGTAACGGGCGAATACAGTGGAACCTTTTTTTTTAAACGTCCTATACCGCGTTCTTATATAAAAATATACAGGGTGTTCGGCCAACCCTGGGAAAAATTTTAATGGGGGACTCTAGAGGTCAAAATAAGACGAAAATCAAGAATACCAATTTGTTGATGGAGGCTTTGTTAACAAGTTATTAATGTTTAAAGTTTCGCCCGTACTGAATTTTTTTCTCGAAAATGCGCAAAATTTCGGGGGTATGTCTGTTCACCAAAAATGATTGTAATTGACACCCGCAACCGAAAATAATTTTTCCCGAACGATTTGAAATTTTTTTTTTCGTCGAAAGGCACCTAATTAGATTTTCGGTAAGGAATTTTTTTCTCGAAAGTGCGTAGGATTTTGGGGGTATGTGTAATGACAAAAACTGATTGTAATTGATCCCCGCAGCCGAAGATAATTTTTTTAGAACGATTTGAAATTTTTGAATTTAATTGTTAATAACTTTTTAACGAAGCCACTATCAACAAATGGATATTCTTGATTTTCGTCTTATTTTGGCCTCTAGAATCCCGCATTAAAATTTTTCTCTGGGATGGCCGAACACCCTGTATGTACTTACCCCTATTCATACTTGTCTAATAGTACGTACGGTAGAAAATCGCTGTTCATAATAGTATCAGAAATATCGTCGCTAACTAAGTTCAGAACACCTGTGTTGGTTTTTAAAGAACGTCACGGCGGATAATTTGGAGTCCAAGTTCTTGCTGGATAGGGTCGCAGGAATTTTCACTCGAATTCTCCGAGATTCCCGCGAAAGTATCGATTATCGCGAGGTCACTTTGCGGAGCACTCAGAAGCGATTGAAGTTCTCATTCCCGTCGGCCATTGTTCAAGCCGCGAGCAGATAATCAAACAGACCCTTCGCTCCACTAATGTTAGCCCTGACTGTGATTCGCGACAGCCGTTCGGTTGATTATTTGAAATTTACTTATGGGTAACGTCGAGCGTGCCTTGGATAGAAGGCTCGCGCCGATAATGGAACGAAAAGCTGATCGTAGCTTTTTAATCAACGGCGGAACGACGATCGTACGGATTCGATGATTAAACGGAGTTTCGAAACCGTACTCGAACGCTAAGAACGAGCCTGAGGTGTAACGGGGTCGCTTCCATTCCGTTGGTATGCAATTTGTGGTGATACGTCCGTTTAGGGCCGTGGCACATGAACGTTTGCGTCGGCGTTTTCCTACTGAGCATTTCAGTGGTGCTTTCAAAGGGTCAAAGTCTCGAACGGAGGATCTCGAAAATTCGTTTGTCCATTATTGCTATACAATGCAGCAGTGCATAACTATATAGAATTATCTAAAGATAGAGTCAAATTCAATTTTAGATTAGGCTCCATTTCTCTTGTTTCATTGAATAAAATATTGGCTAATATTTAAGACAGTAATCTAAACAAACAAGGATTTCGATTTTGTTAACCATGTTACATTGCTTCGAAAAATCTGGAAGAATTTGAACATTAACACTAAACCTACCGGCATCTCATGTATACCCATTCCTACCATGACCGGTTAAATGGCCAGTCTTTCTTTTTCTCGTTTACGAGGTAACGTACTTCTAATTTTTGAATTATATGTATAGAACCTTGTGTTTATTCGTAATATATCCATCTCTTTTGTGTTAAAAAATTTTTCAATTTTCACCGGATAGGAGATAAAACGCCCTTAAAAACGAATTTTGTTCCAAGTCGATACCGTAGTTAGTTCTAGAGAAAACAACTGTTTAAGAAAAAGTGCTGGCTAGTAATTACGCAAACATCCTGTATTTAAATTCATTTTCAATTAAATAAACAATTTATGGTCCAGTTTTATTGCTGAAACTTCTTTAGGTATGTAGCGTCAAAGAAAATTTCAAAATAAACATAGAAGATAGCAATAATTATAGTAGGAGTTATCATCATTAGGTATAGAGGATTAAATGCCCTTTAAAACGAGCGTTTGAACAAGTCGATAGCTTTATTAGTTCCGGAGATATAGCGATTTTAATTTCAAGTCGATGCGGTGGCTAGTTTCGGAGATATAAGGGTCCGAAGCGTTTGTTTACTTTCTTACTACGGCCTTGTCAGGGTCGTTGACCGCACGTGCTCGTAGTAAATAGTAAACGTGACGTCGCTCGGTCACTCGGTTAGTGGGTCAACGTGTGAGAAGGAGGTCCGACGCGTTAGACGGAGACAGAGATAGTCGAATTAAAAAAATTACCATTTACATAAATTACGATATCTCCGAAACGAAAAGTCCGATCGTCAAAAACCAAAAGCCATTTCAAAGAGGAAGGTTTACCGCTACCAACGATGCCTCATTTATAAATAAAACACTAATAGTTTCGGAACTGCACACGTCTAAAGTTTTAGTATTTTTAATACGCGTTAATAGCCTTTTCTGAGACGGGAAGCGAGAGACAGTGAAATTTTAAAAATCATGTTTTACATAAATTATGATATCTCGAAAACGGAAAGTCGGATCGACAAAAACCAAAAACCATTTTAAAGGGGAAGGTTTACTGCTTCCAACGATGGCTCAGTTATGCAGAAAACATGAGTAGTTTCGAAACTGCACGCGTCTAAATTTTAACTATTTTTAATACGCGTTGTTAGACTATTCTAAGACAGTGGAAACTGTAGATTCTCTCCTTTCGTCTTTGCTATACACATATTTCCTATTTACATCGGAAGCTAACCAGAATTTGGCACCAAATTTTGTCCAGTTCAAATATAAATCAACGTCGTGGTAGGCAAGACAGACTACATATTTTTCTCAGAAAACAAATAATAAGAATAGAAGTGAATATTGTAAAATTTTTTGTACGTATACTATAAGAGAAGTCGTGAGGTTAGATGGCGCTAAAATAATATTGTGTGTTAAAAATTCTAAACGAAATTTTAAAAACGGTCATTTAACCGGTCGCGGTAGGTTTTGTGTTGATAAGAATAACAAGACAACAGATAGTCAAACTTTAGTTTGGTGTGCGATAAAACTGGATTATAAATTGTTCATTTAATTTAAAATTAATTTAAATTTGTACGTAGGATGTTTGTGTAATTATTAGCCAGCATTGTTTCCTAAATAATAGTTTTCTCAGGTATCTAACTACGGTATCGATTTGAAATAAAATTTTCTGAACTCTGCGGTCTTCGAAGACACCCACGAAACGCTTGGTAACAAAACGACGACGTACACGCTCATATATAACGGCCCTAAACGTTCCCAATGACTGCACCGTGTTCTCGTACGACGGTCACGTTGCGTCCATTATACGTAATGTGGCTGATCGAATATTAGCGAATGCAACCGGCAATATGCAAGCGTTTGGGAACGTGTATGCTGTTAGGTGGATCCAAATACTGCGGCAATATTGAGGGTTGTTTATACGGGAAGAATGTATACGGATTACAGAGCTGGAGGCTTCATAGTTAATAATTTTCTACGCAGTATTATAACAGAAGCACTAACTGTGCATTGCAGCAAACAATTCGATCGTTGAAATGTTAACTGTACCAAGAAATCATTATTCCAAGAATACTAGAAACTGGAAGCTATGCTACCAAGCGATCAATTTCACGAGCTACGGTATAATTGCTTGCTATGCGTTTACCGTCGCGTTCGAGACAGATACGAATTGCATCATCGTGTACGATACATAAGCATATTAGCTCTCAAATAGTGATAAGCAGTGTCGCGAGCCACGAAAATATTCCCGCAGGGTACACAGAATTCGATTCGAGTGTGTACAGACTGTAAGCATTTCTGCGACGATGACTCTCGATGGTGCCTCGACTCGATGCAGTAACCACTTTTATGCGGTTGAACTTTTCGTCTCGAACTTTCGCCGGAGCAACCAGTGATGCCCGTAACTTTTTTAACGGCGCTCGTTTGAACCGGTATTCGATGAAAATCTGCGGAGGAAAGTTTCTCCATTAGCGGGAAGAAAAAGGAAGGGAAATATTCTTTATATTAAAACAGCTAGCGAACCGAGTTTCATTATTTCGGCAGAGGATAGGACAGAGGTATCTTTGGTCGCGACTACGTTCTTCGTTTGAGCCCTTGTCCCGATCGAATTTTACATTCGATAATCAGACGACGTCGATCGTCGATTCGCTTCAGAATCGTTCGGTAGTTTCTCCTGGAATCACCAAACCCAACAGAATCCACTTACATGTTGTTAATATGCCGAGTCTCGTCGGCAGACGATTTCAGTTTCGTCGTGTTTTCATCGGTTGGATAACGTTGAAGCGAAAGAGACACGCGATGCACTCACCGCGGATCCGCAATATGATCTGTCGATCAGCCTGGTTCCTGCGGGACTGGCTGTCTCTGGAGAGCTCGTCATCCTGTAAGTTGATTCTGATATCGATCAGGCGTCGGTAGCTGTCCCCGAGGTTACACTTCCCGCGATTCTCTCGCAAAAATAGTTTAACAAAGATTCTTTTATCTTAACAAAAAAATGTAGGAAGCTCGCTGGAAGCTTTCGGAAAGGATGGAGCTCTTAGAGAAGCAATTCATAATAGTTTTCTAATTTTTACGAGATCGAATCGAACGTATTTTGTAGACCACTCGAACAAAAAGCATAGTTCAGCGACGTCGGATGCTATTTTACCGATGGAAGTAAATCTACAAACGTCGCTTTGAAGTGTAAAATTGCTAACCAGTGGGCTTTGCAGTAATTGGCAGTTCTGGACCGACGCCAACTAAAAATTAAGTCGAATGAAAGTTGGTCTCGCGGCGTATTACTTTCCGATCACATCGGTCCGCAGACGAAATTCGCTTGAATAGTGAATCCAACGTTGCATTCGACTATCTGGCGTCTTCCAGACCGTGTATGAGTAAAATTATTGTAACAAATTAAGCACGATGTTCACACTGGAATGTTTGAACACCTGCTCGAAGAAGAAATATCATTTCTGTCAAACTGTCAAAGAGGCAATTTGATTTTTTTAATTCGAATAGTTAAAAAAGAAATCGATCTAAGGTTCTAATCCGGGGCATTCCTTTGCCAAATCTGTTTCGACCACGAACAAGTAGTCGAATGTTTCAAATGTTGCTCGTGGTCGTTGCTTATTGCACAGCCATTCTGTGCTCCTTAACCTTATATCCTTGACCTTGTGCTGGAAGGACCACCCAAACTGGTGTTTGGGGAAAAACTCGATAATCTTGTCCTTTACTCACAGAAGACGATGCTTCTGTTACGCAGGAATGAATTCTTGCGGAGACTAAATGTGAAGGCGTAACTCTGTCAAAATTAATCTGTTCCCAAAACCTAATGCTTTTTTTTTTGTACGTGGGGAAATCCTCATGGACACCCGCGGACCCACCCGATGGGAGGGCCGGCGGTTAGTGCCGGACTCTTACCGGCTAAAACTCCACGGTGACCATCCTCAGGCGCCTGGCGAGGGACCGGGAACTCTAGTGAGCCATCACAGAGTCCCCCGCCGCGCCGTGGCTTTTCAGGCCCCTCCCGGTGAGAGACACTCCTCCCACCGCATTTCCACTCAACCGTAGGCGCCTCGTCACCAGCGCCCACGGCCCTATGACATGGGACTAAGCCGCTGGCCGCATGGTCACGTTGGCCACAGGACTTACCCGCTGCCAACTGGCCAACCTGCGGCCTTAGGTAAAACCTGCGGCAAATATCCCATGCCCCAGTCCACTCACACACACATTCACACGTGCAACACATTCATATCGGTGTTTGGGCCATGGGAGCTTTCACTCCAACCTCCGGGATGCCATTGCAAGGATGCGGCCACCAGCCTTCTCAGGCTGATGACCTCATCCCTGCATCCCATCCCAGCGGCTGCACCTATCCGCCACCTGGGGACGCGCCACGTAGGGGTTCACCTCCCCTGCCGCCTGGACAACCAAACGGGTGCGTGGCATCCCAAAACCTAATGCTACCCTTAACCTAACCTCGGCTCTCCTTACCAAAGTGACGAAAAAGCGTAGCGCTAACCAGTGGGAGGATTGGTCTAGCCAATCCTCCACGTCGTCACCTTGACAGGGCGTTTCTTGCCTTTTGCAACATTCCCGCCCACCCCGCTGTCCGGATTCCAAGTCTCGTTCGGCCGCGAAGCATTATGCCCAGTTGCTATACTGCGCGGACAATGCGTATTACGCAGCTCCTTACTGTGTTCCTTTACCCTTTGTGCTCGAAGGACCACCCAAACTGGTGTTTGGGAGAAACCGATAACCTTGAAGCCCGTTGCTCTTTTTAATTGCACAAGAATATTTCTAGATTTGTGGAGAATCGACTCGAGGTTGTAGGGCTCGATCAAACGAATCTAATTCCAAAACCTAATGCTACCCTTAACCTAACCTCGGCTCTCCCTACCAAAGTGACCAAAACGCATAGCGCTAACCGGTGTGGGGATTGGTCAAGCCAATCCTCCACGCCGTCACCTTGACAGGGCGTTTCTTGCCTTTTGCAACATTCCTGCCCATCCTGCTGTCCAGTGTCCAGGTACACCATGCAAGGGTGAAACGTTGCCCCTTTTTAAGTAAACAATTTGGGAAAAGCCAAAGCCCCCAAGAACCCGGTGGTCTGCAGCTGCGCGCTACCGCGGGTTTACGATACGTCAATCGCTATTGAGGCAAGGAAGAGCTTCAAGGATTCCAAGTCCCGTATGGAGTTTGAAGGTTCCTTAATGATCGTATCCTAATTCGTCAAGTAAAACTGTCTCGAAGGCCTAATCCTCAAAAATAGCGGAGAAGTCACGTTCGTATCATAAACCTCCTCGCTGTACCTACCCTGAACAAAACCACTTCGGTCAACCGCATTGACCCACCAAGAAATCCACACTGTTCACCCGTGTGTCGCGGGCTGTTACTTTCGGAAAGGGTATCATGTTGTTCAGCAACAAGGCGTAATCTCGTAATTTCGAAGATGCGCTTCTGGGGAGCGTCTTATGCATAGAAACCAGCGTCTTCCGATACCGGTGTCACTGAAAAGCCTGTCGACGGAAAAAGCGAGGAGTGACGGGCAGAGAAGTAGCTCTTGCTTCTTTCACCCGAGGGAATTGTGGTTAACCGTACGGAATCGGTAGTGTCGTGGAAAAGAGGGTTGTTATAAGCGGCCTATACCACGCCCGGCTTGGCCCGCGAACTGGGGCGGTGTCACCGTCGTGGAATCGATATCTGTTCGCTGTTTCTGAATTTTATTCGGCCGTCGAGACAAGAAAATCGGCTAATTCCGCGTTCCGACTCTACTTTCGATGAACGTCCCAGTTTCCTCCGAGTAAATCATTCTCACATAGTTCTCGCATTGATTATTACTATTTTTACCGTACAATCTTATAGTTTGTCGAGCCAAGAATACAGTGGACGCTGTAGAAACACCAATGATTTACTGCCAAAGGTTCGTTCCTTAAATATCTTTCGAACATTGCAGTATCATTATCGCGAAACGGTGCATGTAAACAAACTTACGTGTGTTATCACTTTAGAAACAGAAATATTAAAATACTGACGGTGGTAAGAACGGTACGCTTTTCTCGGTTTTGCCTTGCGGTCGAACAAAAGGAACAGTATCGAGTAAATTGAAGCACAGAATTTTATGATGTTTCACATAGCAATGTTGTGCATAATTCTTGTATCGTAGTACCGCGGGGGAGTCTTGAGTTCCCCGGAGGAAATAAAATTAGACCACGGTGCCAGGATTCTCGAGAAAATCGAGATAAATTACATATCGATGATAAGCATCCCAAAAATATACTTTATTGGCTTTACTTTGAAAAATACATTGGTTTACGTTTAACTAGATATTTGGAAGGTTTGTTAGATCATCTATCATTTTCTCCACGTCTGACGAGGCGCTCGCGACATTTCTGTTTGCCAGAGAAAAACGCGTTTGACATCGTAGTACCGTATAGGGTACGTTGAAACTTCATTTATAACGTGTGAAGGATAGCGTAACTTGTCCGATTACACGCTGGTCGCATTTCACTCGAATGACCGTCTACGAACGTTAAATATTTCCTCCGTGGGAGGTCAGGTGCTACGGTATCGGACCACCTACGATGCTATTCTACTTGCCAACGTACCTCATGGTCCTTATTCTACTTCACTGGCCAGTTATGGGGCGTCGCACAACTTACCCAACTACCCCGCATACAGAGTAAATTCTGCCTGACCGTGTACGGGGGCTGCTTTTCCTCTATTCTACACTTTCCGCTTTAAAACTGTCGGAGTGGGATACACGCACGCTTTATCGCGGAACTGTGAACATCGAACGGCACAGAAGACAGGAGCACGTGCGATAGGAGGAATTATTAACGGAAGTTAAGGGGGTTTCCTCGCGTATCGGGTTGAAAAATGTGCAATATTTGCAGTTTTTTTTTTTTTCAAAGAAAAATACGATATACGACCAACAAGTCCGTGCCATTTTTTAATATCAACAAGCTAACGAGCTCCACTCGTAGGTGACGACTTTTTCCTCGGTGCTACGGGTAAATAATAAATAACGAGTGCAAATCAGGGTAACGTATATTGATGAAAAAATAGAATGAGGCAGTCAGCAGTTAAAATATTTATTTTTCTTCAAAATGTAAATACAAGTTTATCAATTGTATGCTTTGAAAGTGTAAGTCCCTTTTACGATATCTGCAAAATTGTTGCTATCGCGTTCGACGTTTCAGTTAACCAAAAGTGAAATTCTATGTATTAAAAAAGCCAGTAATACCCAAACGTATCGGATTCCCTGCTCCCGGTCTGTGCGTATCCACTGTATCATTCGTTCTCGAGGGAGGCTCAAATAAATTCAAAATCAATTTCTCAAGCTGTAACAGCCGCGAGGCTCGCGAGCGCTGACCGCCCCCGCAGTTCGAGGGCATACAACGATTTTTCATTTCATCGTCGCCAGCGACGCCCCGTGACGACGCGGAAATGCCATCGGCGAGCCACGACGCGTCCTGAAAATCCTGGCCGGGAAAATCGAACGAAGAAACACCGTTTCAGGCAACCGTTTAAACGAGGGAAAAGTCATAAAAATAACGACTTTTTCAACAGAACACTTCAAAGCGTATCTAATCGTATGATTTATTCTCGCGACAGCGGATTGTCGATACAAAATTTAGCGATTTCATTTTGCGGACGCGTGTACTTATGGCCAACGGTGTACATCCTTAATTTGTACGACGAATAGATCCATTTACCCGAGCTAAACGACGGTAAGTTTACAGTCGCTCGTCGCTGCTAACAATCCTTGCCCGTCGTCGTATGGCTCTCGGGGATGTATAAACCACAATGCCGGCAGTGATGCAAATCAGCAAACCGCGCGACGCTGGCAAAGCCGACTTTGCTCGCGAACGTCTGCAGCTGCCTGCTAGAAACAGTTTTCCCGATTTCGGATAACGTTCGCTCCGCCGCGCGACCTAATCCTATTTACAGCAAGAATATACTGTTACTCGCTGTAACAACATTACAAAGAATTGTTATTGTCGCCGGATGCCACGTTACGAAAAGCAAACCCCCTTGTATCAAGCAACCCTTATCCAGTCCCCTGCACTCTCTTGTCTTGTGTTCTACCTTCTACCACACACCCCTCTGATAGGTAACCCCATCCAATTACCCAAAACGTAGCAACGCGCGCCAGTATCTCGCGAATATCGTCGTTCGCGTAGCATCTTGGAAGTTCGAAAAGTTACGAGGCATTCGCGTAGCGTTATGTTCCTTCATGAGGCAGAACAGGTATCGTACCGCGCATTACTATACATACGTCTTTCGTTGTAAACTGAACGTTGCCAGGGCCAAAGGCAATCAGCTGCTAATTAAAAGACGTTAATTCAAAGCACCGCGTCGAGTTACTTTACGCGAATGTAAGCTACGTTTAGAGATGTCTGATCGATGACAGGGAGTATTCTACTTGTCGACGCGACGTTAAACTCGGAATATTTTAAACTCAACGATGCGACGTTTACAATAACGCGAAGGTTTCGAATAAAATGAAGAAGAAATTGGTAGGGAATAATGTTCGAGTTTTTATTTTTATTCAACATATTAAAATCATTCCCACTTTCTTGTCTAACATAAACACTTTATACAATACAAAGGTTTTGAGAGTCTTTCTTTAACAAGGTAAATTATATTATAGTTTATCGTATCACATAAGTAATAAGGAGCTTTATGTTCACGAAAAGTTTACAAAAGCTACATTATTAAATCGTATTAAGTTTTAATTGTGTATGTATATTAAGTCACTCAAAAGTAGTCTAATTTATGTCGTGTTTGGGCTCATCTTAATCAAGTGCATCCGAAGAATGCGTCAGTACCATTTTTAGAAAGATAACGCGATAACTCAAGCAATATTCGAGTTCAGTTCTAAAACAATACGCTACCCTGGACCCCAAATCTCATGAAAGTTAATCGTGCATTGCTCGTACTATGTCGTCCGTCTCTGTGGCGTTAATATCGTCTCCATCCGAGCGAGTCACGTCCGATATTGACGACTTCCTCCTTAAATCGAGCCGGCCAGCCCCGAAGCATTTCGCGAAGGCCCGTGAAACTGGATTTCTCCCGATACGCGACCCCTAAGTCTTCCATCCCAGACGCATCGTCTTATTTCATGCTGTACCTCGTCCACTCCCCGGAAGAGCGTGCCGCATCGGTGGCCACGGTGTACCCGAGCGGAAGTTGAGGCTCCCGTGTCCACGGCGCGTCGTATTTCCCGAGGGCCATGTCGATGAGGGAGAAACTGCATCTGGAGAACATATCGGCGCAATTCTGGCCCTCGTGGCCCGCTTTATGAGCCCTGCCATACGTATGATGCTCCTCCGGCTCGTACGAGAACAGACGCTTCAAAGGGAACCTGTAACGACCGATGGGATACCATTCAGAAAGGAGTAATTGTGTTTCAGCTTTCCGATATTCTCGAATTTTTCTTTACTCCACTTACGGGGAATTCAGGAACCTCGTGAGATTTATTCGCCAGAGAAACTTACGCAATGAAGCTAGAATTACTTTTTTTTTTTTAAATGCATTCGAGCATAGGTGTTCTAATTAATTATTATCCAAGAATAGGAGGTTCTAACTTTGTATATTATCGTGTTTCACTGTAGGATATAAAATTGTTGAATAGTTTTTTTAAGTGGGCTACAGTATTCTATGTAGTAATAACACCAAAATATTCGAGGGTTATTTGAGGCATATTATGTCACGCATTGAATCCATCAACTCGGCATAATTTCTTGCACGACGAGATTTGGAAGAATGGCCAGGATTACTGTGCATTCCAATAACATATTCTCGAGGGATGTCCTCTTAGCCTTATTTGCCTAATGAAATTCTCCCCTGCTATCCTGGCCAGTTTTATACTCAGCCAAAGCGAGATTATTCTGAAGCCCCATCGATCTTCGCTCGAAGCTCATAAAGAATCACTGCAAAGCGTTTCACTCCGATTTTTATGAAACTTTGTAGGTTTGTTGAGCGATGAAATAAAGGAATACTTACATACATTTTTAACGCAAGTTTGAGGGGTGAAGCTATCCTTCAATGTTTCATCCCCTAATATCTTGATAACTATTACAGATGCAAGAAAGCTCTTTGTAGTATTTGGAGGAAAAATAAATTAATAACAAAGTGCCAATAATAATAAATCACTTTTAAATGTTCTATTTTCGAAAGTTTTATTTGGGTTTTACTAATATTGGATCTCAAATGGATCGTTCTGAAAATCTGCAGAGTTTCATCAAAATTGGGGGAGGAAAGCTGACCTTCGGGGATGTTCTTTAACAATGGAAAATCGAAACGAAAAGAAAGGAACACGCGGACCCTTTCGTCACGACGTCGTTTGAACCTTTCTTTTCTTTATTGTGAACCTTACGTGAGTGATATCCTCATCATCTCTTCGACGAGAGTGTTCCCCTTTGGCATCAGGCGCTGAGAGGCCTCGCAGAGCGCTCGCAGCATGCATGTCCTCCCGTCGAAATTCATCCTGCAAGAACGCAAAGATTAAGAAATAGAACAAATCCACAAGAGTGATAGTTTGCAATTGTCTGAGATCGTTTTGTTTTGCTTTAGCAGCCAACGCGTTAATTTTGAAGAAGCAATGCCTTTTGATCGCACTTTCTTATCAATCGATCCGTAATTTAAAAAAAGAGACACATGAGTAGCATATTTAATTCATTAGCGGTGTAGTGAGAAACGTTTACAACGAGGAAATTTCGTCAGTTCCCTGGTACTCGTTATAACTGAGTTTCACTGTATTTCATAGGGAACTTGTTCCGAAGTTTCAGTACTCGCGTTAAACGTAATACGATTCACGGAACACCCTACGTGTCTCAAGTATTATCGCGAAGCAACGAAGAGGAGAAAGTTCCACGTAAATTATCCAGGAAGACGGATTAATGCATCTCTTTTGCCGTCGAACAGGCGTCCCTTGCACGTGAAAGTTCACGACGGGCGCGTTGCGTTGTTTTCTCATCTACCCGATCCTTCTTCCAGGAAGATTAAAGTCTTCTTTGAGGCGGCGTTTCAAAAATTTTTCAATCATCCACCCAATAATTTCACCCTTGATTTGAGTGGTCGCGGAGAAACGCGGTGCCATCGATTTCAAAGAAAATTTCGCGGTGCTTGGTTGATGTTAACCCGTCTTATTTTCTTTGTATAAACGAGCTGTTCTTGCAATCGCATTAAAACATTATAACATATATAAACTGTTTAATACGACATTAAGAAATATGAAAGCTACTATGATTACTAGACTAGTTTCACTCTACTTACTTTACTAATTAAATAAATATGTTTGTGCTCTGTAAGACCTTAGCAAATGTTTGATTAGGAATCTTATTCGATAGGATCGTCCTTTGGTATTCGTTTTACGACCTCCGACGTAAAGAAAGTACAAGCAAACAATATGAAAGTAACAACTCTGGATACTCTCTTCGTGAAATATCAACGAACATTGGATTTTTATTGAAATACATAATATTTACTTCGGAGGAAGGAGGTCGAGTTCTGTGATCGCCAATCCGAGTAAATGCCTGCTATTAATTCAGAGGGAATTTCTTCGAAGGATAGGACGAAGATTCGGAGGAACGGATCCGAAAAACTGGATGGAGTTAATACCACGTGGATAAGCCCGCGGAGACAATTATCCCTGCGTACTGCTCTCCCATCGTAAAATTATTTTATCTTACGTATTAAAGCTTCTTTTGGATCTCTCGAATCCCATCCGCTACGAGTATCTAAAATTCGTGCACGGTTTTCTTTTAAACATCACATTTCCCACTGTGAAAGGAAATCTGTCAAGTGTTATCATTTATCAATCGAACGTTCTTTTCAAAACATAAAGAATTAATTTAAATTTTAAATCTTTGTAGTAATAAATAATAATTGAAAATGAAGGCTCTCAGTCTGTCTTTTCCATAAAAGAAATACTATTACATTCGATATATTGCTACTCGAAGCCCACGAATTATTTCGTTCGTAAGACTCTGCGTGGCATTTATATTCAACCAATTCTTTATTGGCCATCGTCGACGAAAATAATCAAGCCTCTTGGCGGTGGATATAAATCTGGTTATGGGCAGAGGGAACAAGACAGACGGAGAGAGAGGACCAGAGACCGTTTCCCTCCCATGGCTGTTGGCCCCAGAAACAGATAAATGGTCTGCCAGGCTCGTTCAGAAACAACCCCATCCCCAGCAGCGACTGTTACCTCGCTACTACGGCAACGTACCATGCTGGTTGAGGCGCCACCCTCTGATTCATGCTACCCCTAAGCAGCTCCAGAACCAACCCCTTGCAAACCAGCGTTGCGCTGCGCCACTACCAACGTCTGGAATCAATTTTTGGCCAGCGAAGATGGCGTGCTATTTGTTCTCGTGCACCTTGCGTGCTCTCGGCCAGAGTTGAAAATATTTGAATAATTTAATATTCGAATACTACGAACGATCTCCGACTATAACTAAGTATAATCACTATTTGGATATCGTTATTCAAACAACCGATGCAGACGCATTTTCTTCTTCGTTCTCAGTTGGAGAACAAGAGCCACTGGTATGGAATATTTATTTACATGGAGATAAAATTGTATGTTATCTTCTCGGGACTCTAAAATGTTGAAACAGGGAAATATTCGAATTATTATCTCGACAGAGATACTCAAACAACTCACAAATCTGATAGTGGACTAATTAAAAGGTTTTCCAATGGGAGTGTTAGAGCTTTCAATTGCCATAGCTGCCGTATTAGTGGCATTTTTATTCAGTAGTAGTTTTGAAGTCATCGTAGAAGGATATAGTTGAAATTAAACGCATTATCAACATTCTAGTTCGATGCAAACAACTCACAATTCTGATAGTGGATTGATTAAAGGGTTTTCCAATGGGAGTGTTAGAGCTTTCAATTGCCACAGCTGCCGTATTAGTGGCATTTTTATTCAGTAATAGTTTTGAAGTCATCGTGGAAGGATATAGTTGAAATAAAACGCATTATCGAAATTCTAGTTCGACGCAAGTAACGTTGACAACGTCAATTTGGAATAGCAGTTTGATAACCTGACGCAATGCTTGGGAATTGATAAGTATTACGTAAGTGTGTCATTGGATCAGCCCCATCGGTGGGATCCGGGTTTTCACGAGGAAGTTTATAGGCCGCGGCGGTGTATTTCCCGTTTAGGCGCGTTGCATCCACGGCGAAGACGATGTTACGTTCACCCCCTATCGACGTCTAAGCGCTCGATAGGCCATCGTGCTCGATATCGCCGTCGTCGTCGTCGTCGTATCGCGATACGACGTTTTACGCTAACGCGACCGAAATACATCACCGCAGATGACACGGAAAAAACTGAGACGGTCCGACGGCTCTCCATAAAGGCGGACGACCGCGATCGTTCGATCACGATCGAGACTACTAAAGCTGCCGTAACATTTTATTATCGGGCGTGCCACTCACCCAGGCCGCGCTTCGTGAGAAATTCATTCGTCCCTACGATTTCCAGATAGGGGTTAATAGCCACTCTTGCTCAACGTAAATGGACACTACGTTGAGGATGCTCCACGGAAAATGCAATTTGATCCCGATCTCTTAACTCGTTAAACCGCGAAACATAATCACGCGCGTCTAACAATGTGCTAAGTCCGTTTCGTTGCTCGTTCTCATCCCCCTACGCGTGTTTTCGATCGAATTAAATATGTATTTCACGGTAAGCGTTCGACGATACAATGCACAGAGCCGCGATAAACAATTTAAACCAATTTCAAGACTCCCTTATTTTTGACCACGTATAAATCACAGCAAGAACTTCATTGAGGAAAGAACCTTATATTTTGTCTGATAAGGCACAGATTTTTATTTTACTTGCTTGATAATACACATACTCTTTTTATTAGGTGTACTTAATCGTATAAAAATTACACAAGGGCTGTTTCTATAAGCAAAGAATTTTAGACAACTCGTCTGACCACATATGGATCTGTTTCACTTGTTTGGAAATTCAAACTTGTCCTCTAGTCGCCCAGCTAAATATTGTACTATTCTACTCAACAAAGAACCACGGTTCACTTATTTAAAAATGTATCACTGCAGTAGTCTGACCATATAGTGTGCCTTTCTACTTGACGTATTTAATCCCATAAGAATAGCAAAGAAAAATGTTTTCTACCAAACAGCCTCGTACATTTCATCTAACAATACACGAAGATATTTCACTTATTTAGAAACAGTTCCATTTCAATCAAAAACAGTAATTTGTCTTCCCCGGAAGTCGCAATCGGTTACAGGGTACAGCCTTTATAAGGCAAAATTGCTCGACATCATTCACATTCTACTGACACGTAATACCGCGTTCTCCTTAATCCAGGATTGGTCTTTCTTTCTCTCCCCTTCTACTCAGCCTACTTAATCCGGCAAAAAACGCGCAAGAATTCGTTCTTCGACGGAAGAACCTTGTCGAGCTCGTCCGACAACGGACGAAACCATTTCACTTATCCGGAAACTCGCGCTTTACTCGTCCGACCACAGACCATCTCATTCTCCAATCTACTGGCCAGGCGGTACGTCGCCATTTTCTATTTGATGGATTCTTTGCTTTCTTCGCTGTTACTTGTTTCTAGCAAAGGAATGGTGTTTATTTATCTAACCTATTTTATTCTACTAGGTCGTATCAATAATAAATGCTCGCAAACAAAGTGATACAAAGTATCCAAAACATTTCCTTATCGAATGGACTTTGTCTGGATATAGAGTATTTTAAATTAATATACGCTATCGTGTTAAACTCTTTTCTCCTTCATTCTTTTCGAAACTAGTAATGATAAAATTAATTTCTGACATTGTTCGAACATAAAAGAAAATGTTCTATGGTACGAAAGTGTCATAGCAAATATCATCGTAGATACGAAAATAATCTGAACAAGAACTTACGCATTCATGACTGTTTCCAATTTACTGTAGAGATCCCTACGGTGCCTCCTTTGCAGATAATAATGATTAGGCTTATAATTCTTTCTCCTACTAGTCTTGAAGTAATGTTTCTCGTAGCTGTTCCATCCTGGGTAGTTGACGACATTCTTGTCGATTGCACTGGCCGCGTGACCGGCGTTCTTAATTCCAGGTTTCATTTGATCGTGTCTGAGCTGCAAGAAGGGCTCGAGGGCTGGCTTGCTCTCGTTGGGCAAATCGTACGAAATACCCCAGTTCACGCCCTCCGTGAAAATGTTGTCCGGGGTCAGAGTGTGCACGGTGACGCATAGCGCGATCTGTGGGTAATATACGTATCGAACTTAGATTCGTTTTATAAAATAATAATATTGAAATTTTATGCCTTTTCTATAAATCGATTGATTATTTTATTATTAAATCTCCAGAACATAGTTAGATCTTATATATTTGACGTTTGAGGTTTAAATATAAAGTTAATTTTTTATTGCATCGACTGTTACAAGTGTCGTTTATCTTGTGCATCTGTTTTGTGTATCCTTTTGAATATTTAAATTACAACGATCCGTTATCGCTACATCACAGTTTCTACGTGTCACATGTGGCTTATCTCGAGCCTATGTAAAACACTGTTACCAACAGGTGTGAAGAGATTATACATTCGGTCTTCGACCTGTGCATATGTAAGATGCGATTGTTGTTCATTTAATATTGATCATAATTAATACAGGAGACATAATCTAAAATATGTGTATTATGTGTATTTAATCAAATATATTTGGTACGTGATAATTAAGATATCTTATGTCTCAATTAATTTTTATCGTTTTAAATTTGTTACTTCCATATAAAACATTAAATATGTAAGATCCAACTAATAATCTAAATGAACCTTTATTTGTTATATTTTACTCCCCTAAAAGTTAACAATTTTTAATGACTTGGAAATAATAAAATCCTTTTAGTTTTTAGACTAATATCTAACGTTCCATTCCAGTTTTTATGCCCAAAGCGATAATTTCTTATCTTATTTACAGAAATTAATAATTATCATTGAAGGTTACAACGACACTTTTCTATTCACAGAATGCTTTAAATTCAAATAAATATTTATAGGGATAATACTTAACGCAGCCATTAATTAACATTCTGCGCAACTTTTCGTTCATTCATGCCATTTTGCGCGATTTAAACGCTGCGCGTAGTAACGGAATTTCTGTATCGTTACTCGAGCGAGCAGAGTTCAGATTACAGCTACGCGTCTGTAAACACGAGCGGCGCCCGCGATCTGTAACAATATTCTGCCGCGTATCTGTTTATTGGATCTTTAATATTTTACGCACGACTCGCGATTCAATGCGAAACGTTCAATCAGACACAAATTGTTTCGATCAGGCGCTCGTGAATTTCCATTCCGCGCGATGCTTCGCCCCGATGTACAAATTGTAAATTATTGCTGCTAGTGCATGTTTCGCGATTCATTATAAACGTCGTCCGTTAAACGATTGATTGTAAAAATATCGAATGCTCCTTTTACACGGGAACCTATTATTCACGCGCGACGCGAGTCGTTCCGTTCGCGAATAACAGTAAACGTTTCGCCGTTAATACGATCGTCTATCGATAGACCATTAATATTTTCAAGCTTAGGACATTTTCGTATAACGGAACTCTTTTGAAAAAACACTACAGATTTTATACACTTATATTATTGGGTTAATTTATGAACTACTTTTCTACAAGTGCATAAGATCTATGGTAATAACCCAGACCTAACTCAGACCTCACCCAGACCTAATAGACCGTTAATATTTTCAAGCATAGGACATTTTCGTATAACTCTTTTAAAAAACACTCCAGATTTTATATACTTATATTATTGGGTTAATTTATGAACTACTTTTCTACAAGTGCATAAGATCTATGGTAATAAACCAAACACGAAATTAACAGAAATATATTGAAGATTGGAATCAGTAAGAAAATGATACAATAAAAATTTTTGATTCAAAGGAAAATATGTTGTTAGATACACAAGCAGGATTTGGGAAATAAAGGGAACAATCGACGATGCAAACATTCTGCAACGTCTAGCGAAAAGTGAGGCAGAGGAGAAATAGGGCAAAGTTTTTTACTTTCTTTGCAGACGTTACGACAGCCTTCGACAAAGTGCTAGCAGTAAAGCTATGGCAGGTAATGGCGAAGAAATGGATTAAGAAAAGGCTTGATTGAGGGAACGGAACGAAATAGACGAGGAAACTGAAAATGTAGTTAAAGTAAAGAGACGAAGTGTCCGAAAGGTTTTGGACCATCGATGGTGCAAGGCAAGTTTGCCCAATAAGTTGGATTTCGTTCATTGTGTATACTGGCGCTGAGAAGTTTAGAGTACCCATCGATCTTTAAAGTAAATGAATCCCTTTTTGTTCCTGCACAAACTTTCTACTGAAAATATTTTCTTTACATATTAGCCCTGAAATACATAGTGAGCTTGTGGGTTCTCTGCTAAATTTTTTTTATCGATTTAATTGCAATTATCACGAGGAGTGTTTATTCATTGCCCAATATGAACACTTGAACGCCTCAAAGAATAAAATATTCAAACCTATTTCTCCAATTTTTTAATGAAAACACTTTTTAAACCTGAAACAAATTTGTCAAGACAGTTTCATATAGCAATAAAGAATAAAAATGCACGTAAAAGTAACTTTACAAATTCATGTATATTCATATTAAACGTCCTATGTGTTTTCAATTATAATTAAAAATAGATTCCAACAGTTGTAACTTGTTCTACATGAAACTCGAATAATACTTTTGAAAATATGAATTAATTTTGTTTTCATTTGACGAATAATGCCGTTAAATATAAAAATAATTAAACCAAACAACTTTTCATTTAATCTCCGGAAGTTCACCAGTTGGTGGAGCCCCTGATACAGTGTAAGATGTACAGACGCGTCGCGAATGAAGTTCGTCTCGTAGCCGAAAGGCAAGAAATTACCGGGGAAACTAACTGAACTGTGCTCGTTGGAGAAGTTCTTGCGGAGGTGAAACGCGTGGTATATTACTTACGGAGAATGTTGAGCCTTCGGGAAAGACAACGTAGCGTTTGCGTCGCGACAAGGTAACGTTTCCGTCCGAATCGACCTGATAATCACTCGCGGCGATGCACAATATTAAAAGGAAGAGACAACTTCCGTTCCGATTCATGGTTGTCCTGAAAAGAGAAGGTGAAAAGTTACCTCCCCCGTCTCCTTGAGAAAAATTCTAAAGGCTCCTCGAAGGGGCTGACCTACATCGCGTTACACGCTCGTCATCCTGATGCAACTTTATTAACATTCAAAAGCACGGAAAAGAAGTCGCCGCGGCAAACAAACCGAGAATGATAGAGATGGATAAAGAGCGTCGAGCGTCGGCGTCAAATCAACCGTACCGTCTCTTCCGCGTTTCTGAAACTTTCTCGTTACATAAATCCTCCGCGCCGCGTTTTGTGAGCCCCGGATATTCAACATCAACTGCAGACAACGAAATCCCCCCCCCGAACAGGAAATTTTCATCCGCAGTCGCGACGTTCCATTCTAATTACACGAAACAAAACGATCGAGGGAGGCAATTACGCGGCGCAACGACGCTGTTTCCTCTCGTTTCTTTGCCGTTTAACGAGAATCAAACGAACCAATCTTCCGGAATTCAAGGAAATGCATCCACGTCGGGGCGTATCCGCGTGATATCGCGTTTGCGCGCGACGGTGAAAAGTAGCCTTTTACCTCGGTGGACGTCTCATTAATTCGGACTAGAGGAGCTCGCAATTCTGCCCCAGCCGGTCGACGGGACGTTTCGATGTCGCGGCCGAATTGTTTTATTTGTCCCGCCCGCGGGGGCGAACGCGCGGGAAAGAGGAGCTCTGGCGTGCTCGTGACGGCGGCGAGTTGTAAAGGAATTACCCAACTTCCTGCGAGCAAATCTCGCTGTAATCCGTTGAGAAATTGTTCGACGACTCGGCTGAAATATAAGAGGCGTCGAGGAGGTCCCTGAGTTAGGTAGGAATAGCCCTAAGCTCTGACCACGTGACTCATCGACGACCAACTTCGCCAAGATTGTTGGGGCAGATCCTCCAGAAACAATCGCCAACGAAAGCTCCAAGACCTTCTCGCTTTCTCTTTTTTTTACATCGTGCACTGTGATGATCATTTGCTATAAACTAAAAGAAATATGTTTTTCTCATGGAATTATTCCCCATCTATTTTTACCAAATGTCGTTGGTTACACTGTGTTACTTTTACTTACGAAATAGTTTTTTTTTTAATGTTAACATTGATAGAGATAGAGAGATAGAACATATTGTATAAACAGTATACAATGATACTGTCAATAGTTACTATACAGGGTGTTCGACCCTTTTAAAAATTTTAATGGGAGATTCTAGAGGCCAAAATAAGACGAAAATCAAGGATACTAATTTGTTGATTGAGGCTTAGTTACAAAGTTAAGAATTTTTTTCTCGAAAGTACGTAGGATTTTGGGGGTATGTGTATTAACCAAAAATGATTGTAAATGACCCCTGCAACTGAAAATAATTTTTTCAAAACGATTTGAAATTTGTTAATTTTGTCAAAAACATTTGTCCACCTACTCGAATTTTTTTCTCGAAACTGAGTAGGATTTCGAGGGTATGACTGTTGACCAAAAATGCTTGCAATTGACCCCTGCACCTATAAATAATTTTTCTAAAATGATTTGAATCTTTTCAATTTCACCAAAAAATTTAGGCACCTCGATTTTTCTTAAAAATTCGTTTTTGATTTTTAGTAATTTTGTTTTACGTTCTACAGAAAAGTTGTTTAATACTTTTTTGTAGGTGCCCGTGAGCTCTACTTCAGAAAAAAGATTCATTCAAATATATTCACTATTCTAGGAGTTATAGCCCTTTGAAAATTGAACCATTTTTAGGGGGTTTTTCTTACCTTACGGTCAGGGAACAACTTTCCGAATATTTTTGGATTCTCGAAAATGCGTAGGAATTCGAGGGTATGTCTATTGACCAAAAATGATTGTAATTGACTCCCGCGACTGAAAATAATTTTTCCAGAACGATTTGAAAAATTTTTTTTTCGTCGAAAAATTTCAGAGAAACATGTCAATGTATGGTCAGACACTACATTTTCGATAAGGAATTTTTCTCTCGAAAGTGCACGGATTTCGGGGGTATGTCTATTGACGAAAAATGATTGTAATTGATCCCCGCAACTGAAAATAATTTTTTCATGAATGATTTGAAACTTTTTAATTTAATTTTTTAATAACTTTTTAACGAAGCCTCAATCAACAAATTGATACTTCTGATGTTCGTCTTATTTTGCCTCTAGAATCTCCATTAAAATTTTTCCCAGGGGTGGCCGAACACCCTGTATATAGTTCTTTCCCATTTATTTTTACCAAATGTCGTTGGTTACATTATATTACTTCTATTTACGTAGTAGTTTCTTTTTAAATATTAACACAGATACAGAGATAACACATATAAACACTAAAAATAAGTCAATAATTACTACATACAGAGTGAATCTCGTAACATGACGATTTCAAATAACTCATAAATTATTTGTTGTACGTGAAAGTGTTTCAGATAAAAGTTGCATGGCTTGTAGATGGACAATATACAGTGCTCTAATTGGTTTTACGTTATTTTGCATTTTTTATCAAGATATGAAGGAGAGTTTTAATTTTTTAAATGAAACGGTTAATAGTTTTTCCTGAATTTAGATCAAACATTGAATTCTATACAAAACGAGATTATATTAGAGTCTGAAAAAAATAAATTATCTTCTATTAGAAAATTTCACGTTAATCAACGTGACTATTAGCAGAACGTAGTTGGTATAATGCGTTTTTATGTAGAATTTAATGCTTTATTTATAAATGTGGGAAGAAATATTAACAATATCTTGACAAAGAAACAAAATAACATAAGACCGATTACAGTACCTACTACATGTCACCCTAAAAATCATACAACTTTTATCTGAAACATTTTTCTGTTTAACAATAATTTCTGAATTAATGATTTATGTTACATTGTGTTACTTCTATTTATGTAGTAGTTTATTAGCTTTATCATTTATCATTGTATACTGTTTATAGATACTATCTCTCTATCTCTATCTGCGTTAATATTTAAAAAACAACCTAGTTCGTAAATAGAAGTAACACAATGTAACCAACGACATTTGCTAAAAATAGATGATGAGGAATCCCATAAGAAAAACAAATTTCTTATATATAACAAGTACTATTAGGAAATAAGAGGATGAGAACCAACAAACAAAACGTCGCAAAGGGCAAGCGTAATCGTCCTCGCGATCCATCCGATCCCCTCTGCTTCTTAGGTTCTTGTTTATTATTGGGTAAGTCGATCACCTAGAGGGGATCAGGTAGAGCACGAGGACGATTCCCTTTGCCTCTCCAGTCGTTTAGTTTGTGTGTAGTGCGTCAACATCTCGTCTCTCGATAGTACTAACCGCGTTCAAGGTTGCTTGCTTTCGGTGGTCGGACGGGAACCAGTGTTTTCAGCGTGCCAAGTTTTCGTTCCAATTTATTCAGAAGACCAATCGACGAGCCTAGCACTACGATAATTTCTATAATAATTGCAACAAAATCCAATAATGAACCCGACGTGTAAAACGATTGAAATCGTGGTGAACTACTTGACACGTAATCTGATACACAAGGTGTGATCGACGAGTGTCGAAGACGCTGTAGTTTCGAATACTTGGGAAAACGAGAACTTCTTTACTAACGAACCTAGAACTACGATAATTTCTATAGTAATTGTAACAAAATCCAATAATGAACCCGACGTGTAAAACGATTGAAATCGTGGTGAACTACTTGACACGTAATCTGATACACAAGGTGTGATCGACGAGTGTCGAAGACGCTGTAGTTTCGAATACTTGGGAAAACGAGAACTTCTTTACTAACGAACCTAGAACTACGATAATTTCTATAGTAATTGTAACAAAATCCAATAATGAACCCGACGTGTAAAACGATTGAAATCGTGGTGAACTACTTGACACGTAATCTGATACACAAGGTGTGATCGACGAGTGTCGAAGACGCTGTAGTTTCGAATACTTGGGAAAACGAGAACTTCTTTACTAACGAACCTAGAACTACGATAATTTCTATAGTAATTGCAACAAAATCCAATAATGAACCCGACGTGTAAAACGATTGAAATCGTGGTGAACTATTTGACACGTAATCTGATATATAAGACGCTGTAGTTTCGAATACTTGGGAAAACGAGAACTTCTTTGCTCTTCTTGATACGCGTGTATGAAAGCAGAGTTAAAATGGCGACGGATCGAAGTCCTGGCGATGTATTTCTGACAGTGACAGAATCTCGACGCTGCCGCTCAATTGCGCGGCTAGATTGCATACTTCGGGGAAGACCAGCGATTTTTCAGATCGACATCGATGAACTTGGCAAGAATCGGTGCTAATTCATCCCCGACACCGGTCCCATTGCTCCTTCTATTACCTGTCAACTTACAAATCGACGACATTGGTTTCTCAGAGCGTTTTTCGACGCGAGAACAGGGAAATTGCGCGTTCCTGTGTAATTATGTGTCAAGTCATCGACCACATCTTCCCTTCGACGTAATCAGGTACTCGCCTTGACTCCATTCAATCATCTCTCTCGTGTTCTTGCATTTCACTTCTACCTTTGTTCGGTATTCTTCCTCCCTTCGAGTTCCTTTTTTTTAATTTCTTAAGCGTGCATTTCGATGAGAAACTTTCCCCGTCCCGTGTTCGTCACTCAGGAATCAGAGAAGTTCGGATGCTCTCAAAGACTCGAGTGTCTCAAAGGAGTCGCTAAGAGGCCGCCAAGAATGCCCGTGTTTTGTAATTAAACGCGTTGACTTTAATCGACGAAGTTCAGTCAGAGTTTTACGAAGTTTTCGCGGAATCCTCGCGTTGGTTCTTGTGTCTAAAATTGATAACTTATGTAGTACCTGTTGGGAGTTAGTACGAACGACGTACACGGATTTTAAACGATATTCAATAATCGTGGTTCATGTATCGTTGGAATCTTGCCATTGTTATTATTATTAGAATACAAATTTTAGATTCGAAATTCGTATATATCGTAAAAGGAATTTATTCGTAAATAAAATTGTTCAATTCTGAGCAAATGGATCTTCCATTAAGGAAAGTCCTAACATTAAGAGATTCTCTACATTCTACTCTTTCATTGATCAGTCCACGGAATAAAATCGTGTTTCTAACTGCGTAATTAACGCGACCAGACGTCGACGGTAAAAAGTCGTATAATTTTGTTAGGGAGGACCTCGTTACCGCCTTACCTTTCGCGATCGTGAAAGACATCGTCGAACAAATCGTGCCATTTTCGTGTTTTCTATCCTCCTTTTTGCATTACGACCCTTCTATCGTCGACATTTTTCTTCTGTGATTATCTGCCTTCCGCCATTTCCCTCCTGGTTTTCTTTATTCCGTCGTTTCTGTCTCTTTAAGCCCGCTGTTCCAAGGAATTCCACCTTTGTCGCTGCGAAAAGGATATTGTCGAATTCCTTTAGCTTTCCACTACTACCACTTTCCGTCTTGTCGAGCAAATGTCAATTTTCCATCGCTATTTTCGTCAACGCTTTCGCCTTTGTTTCGTTTTATTACCGCCCTTCTTTTAATATTCTTTTCTGCCTCGCGATTCTATACCGTACTTTATTATATTTTGTCTACTCTTTTGTCGCCTTCGTTCGGTTCTCATTAGTAAGATTATTTTCTGCTTCGGTGTTATATCCAGTGTTTCTCAAACTCCAAACTTTCGGTGTTTGAATTTTAATTTCTTTCAATGCTGCCTTGTGTAACTTTTAATATAGAGTAAATGAAAAGTGATAAATACGTCATAAACACGAAATAATATTGATAAAAGTATACGCGATATTGGATAAACCTAAAGTTCCTTCTTTTACGTTTTTACTACTGACGATAAAATACTTCTTAACGGTTGCTTTTAACAAGAATTAAGTAGGTACCGGGGATAGTAGTTTTTTTATTATACTATGTAATACACATCTATTTTCCCCTCGTTTCTCGTGGGAGTACACGAACCA